GAATAATTTATTCCAGATGACATCAAGATTAGAGAAATTATTTATTTATTTATATCGAATGGCAAAGGTCTTAATGGTTATCGTTAGCCCTTTAGTTGACTTCAGGTTTCACAGAGGGGAAGGAACATCAAAGTGAAACAAATAGAGAGGGAGAGGGGGACCAGAAAATAGTTTCTAAAATGTAAAAGTGGAAAAAGGTGAGGTGAGTACTGTGGAAGTAGTCGAATATGACATACAATGGGGTGAGGGTAGTTTGAAGTCAGAAGTCAACTGCCAGCTAATAGACTTTTTTGCCGTATGAGTATACGTTGCCCAGGGTGCACCACGTGGAGGTAAGTCTATCGCACACTCCAGAGTAGAGAAACTATCAATACTTATATTTTTAGTTTTATTTTTCTAAGTTTTGGAAAAGGTCCATATCAAATCTATCATTTAATGATTCCTCAATTCTGAAATTATGTTAAATGAATATCTTCTTGCGTAGAGTTTATTGTAGCATTGTACAATAGATAAATAGTAGGTCGGATGTCAATTGAACACTTCACTTTTATTCAATTTAAACATTTCATTGCAAATCTAATACTTTAAAATTAACTTTAAATGGTTCTAAATGATTAACAATATTACATGTCAATTACATAAACAAAATCAAACAGTGGCTCATGTACGTAATATATAATCCATTAGAATTTTGCATAAATTGTCCCCGGTAGTTAGTAAGGTGCAATTAAAGCTGATGTATAGCCTGTTTATGAAAATCAGCGCAAATCGTTAACTCTTCTCATCTATGTTGGATTTGTTTATTATTAAAATGTACGATGAACAAACTTGTTGATAATATAGCTACTTTTAATAATTAAAAAATACCAAATTTAACAGGTTATTTAAAAATTTAACAAGAATTTTATATAGATTTTATATGCACAGTGCCCATACAAATTAAATCGGCGACAAAACGGCCTTGATTTTGGTTCTTCAGTTAAGCAAATTTTTTCGCGTATATTAAGTTTTTCACGAGCCAGTTAGTGTGCTATGTCAGTTACCTTGTCGGGTTTTCATCAAGCTGTATTAGATGGTAAGTTTTAATAATTAACTATCAAAAGGGAATATTGCAAGTGTAAAGGCCTTTCTTTCCAGTGGGGACGTGAAGATTGATGAACAAGATGAAGTAAAGGAGTATTGCTAATCTTATTAGATAATTAGGATGGTATGACAGCTTTACTACAAGCTTCTTATCGAGGAAATGTTAAAATTGCGCAATTATTGGTTAATTCTGGCGCAAATGTTAATTGGTCAAAGCACAAGCAAGGTTATACTGCATTAATGTTTGGTGCACTGGTAGGATATTCCTATATATTCTAATTCACAGCTAGTCTGGCAAAATTGAAATTATTGAATACTTACTCTCTCAAGGTGCAAAAACCGATCCAACAAATTGTGTGAAGCGAACAGCCGCAGAAATGGCATCGTTTGTCGGTGAGCTCTTTCAATTCACCACTAAGTTCTTAATTTAGGCAATCATTTCGCTTCTGCTCTTATTAATACTTACATAGAAAAAGAGGAGTTGGTTCAATTTACGAAACTAGAGGCATCATCGAGTTCTTTTCTATCTCCAAGTCTAGTTGATCCACTACATTGCATGCTTACTAACCTCAATTTCTCTCCCGTGAAGGTAGATACCATTTTTATCACACTGTCGTCATCCATCTTAGGTTTTTATCTATCTTTCTTCGTCATCGGGAAAGCCAATTTTAGATAATTTCGAGAATGTAGTCGCAGCGTTAGAAAGGCTTTGCGCGCAGCATTTCACTCCCCACAAAACCCACGAACACATTTCAATGAAATTACATCTTCTCAGTTGCATTGTTAAACGTGCAGGCGAGTTTCTGAAAATCAAGAACTTCGATGAGGGGAGAACTGGAAAGTCTTCTCTTACCTTGGAACCTTTAATCAAGTTATTTCTTCGAGGTACTGATCCTCATGGCTTAGCTGGAGGTTAGTTTACCAGTTATTATTCTCTATGGTATCATGGAAATGCTTCAAATACCCCGCGAATAAATATGGATACATTAGGAAAGTGTAGTTTTAGTTATTTAGATTTTCATACGCATCACATTACCCTATGCTTATTTTCTATTATTCGATTCCTGCTTTTCTTGTCATGTTTATTCCTACTGCTCTTTACTTGTTTTCTCTGATAGCTTTAATGCACGGCTCTCGACATCCGGCTTGCTAGAACATTCACTTCACAAACACTTCTACTGAAGGTAGTAAATTCCGTATTATTGGATAAACTTTCAGTTTGGCTTTGTTATTTAATCTCTTCAGTTAAGCTAATTCCCCTTTTTTCTTGTTAAATTTTTTTGATAGTACAACAATTTTTCTCTCCTTAAGCAAGCACTTGGTAAATCATTCGAATTGATGTATTTATTTGGGATTGGTTAGTTCGGAAGCGCAATTCTCCCACGGCTTGTTTATCCTAGTGATGAGTACGCTAAATGGTAGACTCCTTGCTGTTTCTTGCCACTTTTGATTTGCTTACTTAATGTCTAACTCCACTTCTGTGTGTGATAGGGCAGGAGTCATTTTTGCGCAAATGTCTCGTTTCATTTCCGCACTCTGAGTCGAATTTGTGGCGCCAGACAGTGACGCGAGTAAGTCAAGTCGAAGTGGGAGAAGCGCCGACCGCTCTTGCTCTCCTAGAGAATGCTATTAATGGTCTCTCGCCTTTCGCTCGCTCTGCTAAGGCCGATGAATCGTTATCTGCAGGTGGTTGCGAGCCCTGTGCCACTTGCGCAGACATGCCTGGTTATGGAGATGGCATCCGATCCAAATGGTGCTCACGCTGTCATGAAGTTGCCTATTGCTCTGTCGCATGTCAAAAGCTCCATTGGTTCACTCACAAAAAGTACTGCTCTGTTCTTAAAGGTAAGTCCTTGATATGGCGTTGGGGAGAAGTAAGTGTTAAGATGCTAACCGCAAATACCGGGATGGCTACGACCCAGATTTCATGATAATCAAGCTGCTACCCCTGGTATGCCCAACTTCGGCTTTAAAAAACATTCACTTAGGGTCCTAGAAGATTTCCTATTGCTTATGAGCTTCACCATTGGTTTTTGTTGTGTCATCAATTTGCATAGTCTTATCAGTTCGCAGACGCCTCAGAAATTTTAAAATTCGGAACGGATGACTCCTGTTAATTGCTTCTAAATCTTTACTTTCTGACTCGTACTGCTCTTTCCTTGTTAAATTTTGTTATCCTTTGCAGAACACCATAACTCGTTGGCCAAGGCTGATACAAAGACGAAGCCATCTGCTGATGAAATGTCAAAAATCCAGGGAGAAATTTCGTCCCTTTTATCCAGTTAGTACTTTCGATGTCTCCCACTTACAATGATGATTGTCTTCAATGTAATAAATAATAGTGCTAACAGGGTCTGCTTAACTCGGTTTCGGATCAACTAGATAGTGACTTATTTTTGTGGCAAAATAAAGATATCAGATTTTAATCAAATTTGAAGGCAATGTGCCCTATGACGAAGCGTCTTCATTTTCGAGAACGTGTGTCTTGGTTTCAGGAGGGTTCCATTTTATCTGAGCTTTAGAATCACCTGGTCGACTGCCTCTTCAAGTTCCTTCAGGCGTGTATTCTTTCTTTTGATCTCATAGGGGAAATTTAGACGCCCATCTTCACATAAACTGCTCTTCCGTAAATTTTATGAATTCCAGTTGATTTTGTAAAAAAATCAGAGCGAGACCACTCAGCCAAGTAGCAAATAATAGGCGCTATAACATAGCGCAGCACTAATTTAATTCAAAGTCCAAGATATGCGGCGGCAGGCCACAAGTGGTAATAGACTTTCTTTACCTTGTTCATTCCGTGTTCGCGCTACTTTGAACGTAGCGTAATCAATTTTGGGAACAATTGCATGCTGGGGGACTTTGGCAGAAAGGTTTTTTGGGGTTTAGGTAGGGCTTGTGCAGTATCCCCTACAAATCTTCATCAGCTAAAAGAAAACTATTTCGAATGATGATCCCTGCAGTTTTTAACTAAGAACAAATGAACAATTCCTTTCAGAACACGGGCAACGAGCCTTTCAGTCATGCTTTAATCTACTTTATCAATTACCACTAGTCTTTACTTTTTGACATTTTAGGAAACAAATTCAGCTTGTTTCTTTACCATTTATAATGCATGTCAAAAAAAATATGAGAAGCCCAATGAGAGCATATTTTCCTGTTTATTTATATGTTTGGCATGTGCCATAGTAACCAAGTGGGCTTGCGCCCAGCTGTTAGGTGGAATCTGTTCAACGCAAGCAATGTGTTTTGGTCTTTTATTTTCATTTGGCCCTGTACTAAAGTTTAACGTTGAAACAAGACGTGATTTGAAGTTTTATCCATAACACACTGGGGCAAGCCATACTTCGCCGTGACATCTAGTTTGATTTTCCATCACAGAGATGATATTACAGTTCTGTTTAGTATCAGTTTCTCAGACGACTCCTCATAAAACAACATATATGTATACGGCGACCTACTGATACCAATCTCTTTATTGCTGGACATTATAGAAGAGATGTGGAGTATCGTAGTAAGCATGGTCTGAATAGATCTTTGCTGAAACACGGCAAGTAACTACGAAAAGATATAAAGTCTAGAAGAAGCTGGCAAAATGAAAAGAAAGACCAAGGAATATACTGAGTAAAAAGGACTAGAGGAAATGGACAACACACGGTTATGTCGAGCGAGAGGCAACCATCCAATAGTCATACTGTCCCCGCAAGCTCAACTTCATTTTTGGCTCACCCACTCAATTTAAACCTGCTCGACGCAAATTAAGTGGGCCTTTTATTGCTGGAGATGACCATTCACTTTACCCCTGTTCCGGAAGCATAAACATGTTCTTTTCGTTAGTTAAGAGTCCATCGCCGAATGTTAATATTTTTCTTGTATGTTAATAAGTTCTGATATCTTCAAATGATAATCAAAACAAAAAATTCATCTTGCATGCTAATTTTTTAAAAAATTCTTAAAGGCTCTTTAGTTCTTTTTTACTAAGAAAAACTTGAGTGCCGGAAAAATGCACGACTACCAATAATAAGCTTCATATGAAAAATGAGGAAAAGCCCTACTAATTGAAAAGGAGAGCTGTGGTACCAAAGAAGTTTCATGATCTGTATTTGTTACCGTTAGGAGTCCTTCCAAAATGGAAACAGGAAATCGAAGAAGCTTCTAGTAACGACATGAGAGAAGTGGAAATGGTGCTGTTGAAAAACGTAGAGAGGATATAGTGTACGCAGTATACTTCACGAAAATGTACTTTTATTAAAACATATTAAGCCTCTTCAAAGTCTAACTAGCTACAGATTACTACAATTAATTTCTAGTGGAGTCCACTAGCATACATTTGCTACAAAATCGGCTTGGCTACGTCCAAAGTATTGAGAAAGCGCAACCTCTAAAGTGGAAAGACTACAAACAAGTTTATTCTGTGTTGCAAAGCTCTATTTCTTGAGGGGCTTTTGTACTCTCCACCTCATTTATCAGAATGTTCCATGATGGGGTATATCCATCAGTAGTGTGTGGATAAAAGAAGAAAGTATAAAAATGGGTTAATGGAACTTCCACGATGTCATTTCCCTTCCACTTCATTTTCTACCCTTCTCCCTGTACCATCTGCTTAGTCTTTACTTGCAACTAAGAATGAAGTCCTTTGACTTTCAAATATGAATACAGTTTTACTGTGGAGAACTCAGCTGGCAGCAAAGAATGTTAATAGCATACCGCATTAGGGAATACGGTGCTCACAGGAAAGGATTGGAGGCAGAGACCTCGGAATCCGAAAATAAAATTTTCACTTGAATAAGGAGTGTTATATTTTACCCCATGTTATTTTCACCCAAATGATGCAAGACAAAGTAAAAAAATCATATTTCGAAGAAGCATTGGGTTTGTTCTTAAGGTCTTTTTTAGCCTCTCTCTTATCGCTCTCTCCGTTTCTATGTCTAACAATGTGTGCATACTGTCAATTTTCATCTTAGATTTATATACATTATAGAATTGTGCTATTGTTCAATTATCCCTGTGTCTCCAAACCCAGACAATACGTACTCCGCCTTTTCATTGAAGGAGTTTTTCGTGTACTTCTATCCTTCCGAGTTTGATTCGAATAAAAGAACGAATATATCATGATTACTTCTCTATTCCGTCACCCTCCCCACCACCTCCACTCCTTTTAATTATTCATGAGGTTTGCCCTAATTATATCTGCTTCCGTACTTAAATTCAAATTAGTAGACAAACGCGCTTAACATCAATTATTGTAATAAATGTAATTACCTATTGTAAACGTCAGATTAGTAGTATCCTCATGAGATGAATACTATTCATGCAACTCAAAAAAACTGATAGACCTTTGTAAGTTAACAGTCGTCTAGATTACAAGTTCGAAAGTATTCACTATTTCGCAACTACCCTCCAGAACTTAATCTTATTGTGATTACATTGTTTATTTGAAAGGAAAACAAACTAATCTTCAAAAAATCAATTCATTTTATACTAAGGTCTTTAATTGTGATCGACCAAATTCCTCCCAGTTTTATGCCTCAATTCCAGAGAGAAAAATATATCTCGAGAGCAGGCACGATTTATTTGTGATAGACAAAATGATGTCGTTTAGAGAAGAGTAGGAGGAGAAAGACTAGTGGATCAATTTGTAATAAAAATCAGCGGTAATTTAGAATAAGGAGTTATCTCCATTTCCATAGTGCTCATTGTCTTCCAAATTGAAGAGAACTTGATAATTGCCACCTGTTCCACTAGTCCTTGGTTTACCTGCCTTCCATCGGCTTTTACGTTGACGACAGCGCATGAATATGCAGAGCCCAATGCCTGCGATACAGATCATGCAGATAAGCACAAGAATGGCTAAAGTCAATGCCTTCTGTTTCTTTGACTGATTCTTCAGATGTGACCAGAAGGGATTCGGTGGTTCCTTCACTGGTACTAGATGTAAAAAGTTTAAGTACTCAATGCGCATATATAACTACACGTTGGCTACGAGTGCGCTGCCTTAGATCTATTAATCAAACTCTGCTGTGATATAAAATCTCACCCATTTGTTGCTGTCCGTAACAAAAACAGATAGAGACCATACCAAATACGCCAATTAATAGAGTCTAAGTTTCTGTGAAATCCGGTTATTCCATAACCAGAGGGGTCATAGTCAATTATAAAATTTAATAATCATGTCAGGTGGCCTTAAATACCGGGATGCAATCCTATCAGTAAACACGAGAATATTAAATTCCAAGGATTTAATGAAGCATAATTTCAATTCCCACTTCTGAGCCGTCTTCCCCCCTATCATACCTTATCGGACTCGGTTATTGTTCGAAACTACACTTAGTGAATTATTATAACAAATTTGAGATTATGCAAGTTGGAAAGAACTTAAGGAGCAGAAACACAACCTAACTTCCCGCATGGAAGCATATACCCTACAAGCGAAATATTTATATGAAAAAGTTAAAATGAGAGGTCAGTGTGGTCATTTTTTGCTTGAGTAATGGCGTATCATCAACATTATGACACACGCTGGGTGTGGTTACTTCCATTATGCAGATACTTTTCCGTGATTAAAAACGTGCTAATTATTCCGAACTACTATGGGCTTAACAAAAATAAGTACAGAAAACACAACCGAAAGAATATCTGCAAAACGATGTTCCACTATTATTTTTTTCTCTTAACTTATGATATGAAACTCGACTGTTTATTACAAAGACGAAGTAACAAAATATCGTTACGAGTTAATGGGTGTGAAAATATGTCCGTTCTTATTCTCCATAATTTGAATGGATGAACTGTAAAAAGCGAAAATCATTTAAACAAATTACTAAAGTTTCCATGAATGCATTTTCCAAAGAATGCCTAAGTGATGGGATGAATTACGATTCCTTTATTCGAATGAAAAAATGTCACATAGAGGAACAAGTTAGAGATTTCGTGCTAAGCAAATATTTCGCAATTTCGATATTTGATGATAATCCGATTTAATTAATAACTATGTGGTAAAAGATGAATCCAAAGATTTTCGGATAGATATCAAATATCAACCAGATGAAGGTAAATTCAAATTATCTATTGTTCTTGGAAAAATTGTTGCAATCCCCTAATTAAGGAAGTACTTATGCGCTAAATATCTAGTTGGGATAACCGAATTCGGAATATCAAATTTGAACAATAAATGTCAGGTGCTGACTCTTCAATATCGACAGTAGCAAAAATTATATTAATTTATAATAACAAATAAAACACATTGCAGAAACAGCAAGAGCAATCGGTAACTGCATATTTAATTGACCCTGAGTAAAAAACGCGAAACTGTAGTTAAGCTTCTCGTTGGGTGCGTCATCTGTGTGTGAATTTTCAATTGGCACACTAGGAGCTGGTGTGCCAATTTGCACGCACTAATTGTGTGACTTTGGAGAACGTGTAAAATTATTATTTTTGTCATCGATTTGATTTCAATACTTCATTAAAAAAATGACTATATTGAATTATCATGAAATGAAATTATCTTAACACTTGGATGAAATAGATATCTTAGTTAGATAGATAATGAAAGGCAGCAAGCACGACTTACGTCTGACAACCTCATACAGATCGAAAAATCTAGAACTTGAGCGGATGCAATCCTTCAAATTTTTACATTTGTACAAAGTGCATCTTTCCTTCTAAAAAAATGAAAGTTTTATGTATTTACTACCTTTGAGTGAAAGGTTAACGTTGTGCAGTTTTCAATGCTACAGCACTTATAAATACAAGCGTCGGCAGACACATCATATTTATCAAACAGAACCATTTCGGGTTCTATACTTTCTTTAGCTATACGCATACCATTATAAAACCTTGTTTCGCATGTTAGAGATGCATAATAAGAGCCGATATCAAAAATAGCTATTAACAAAAAACGTATTAGCATTCTCGTTGCCGCGTAAAAGCAGTTAAGTATTAATTGGTCTAACGGAGGTCACTTAAAATTCAGGATAAGTTCAAACATAATTAGCTCAATTTGTTCGAATCAATTTCCGCTTATTGTAGTTTTATATCATTATTTTTACAGTCATCCGTTCTATCGATTCTCTTAATGCTTTGCTTTAAAATTTTGGTATTGTTGTTAACTCCGATCGATATAACTATTGTAAAGCTGATTGATTTTTGATTAGTATAACTATTCCTTATGAATAAACATTTATTATTTTTATAATTTTGATATTTCTCACGAGCATACTATATTTAATCTATATTATCATTGCTTGATTTCCTGCATTCGCACCGCTCTATGTACACCATTTTTTCTCTTTTGTAAGAAACGGTCTACATTATTACATTTGAATTTATCTACTAAAAAATAATTTTCTTCCTTCCTTGACTGAAAATTATTAAGTGGTGATAAGCATATTGTAATCAAAATATCATAGATCAAATTATGTTTATCCTATACTTATTTTTACTATTTTTATCGTAATAAATATGAAGTAAAGAGGGGATCATTGAACTTTCACAGCCAGAGCATCGAATTATGCCATCCATTTTATTGATCCAATTTAATAATTATAATTGGTCATTTTGTAAACTGGATGTACGATATTAGGCGATGAACCCATAATCTCCGATTTCGCACATTATTTTCACGTGCAATTTTGTGCTAAAGAGCACATAGAGAATGAGATTTTTGCTAGAGTATTCATAGAAGGATGGCTTAGCTCACATTTCGTCGATGCTATTATTTATTAATTTCAAACGGGTGAACATATTTTATAACATTAATTGTTTTTTGAAAAATTCATTGAATCTCAATCAATGTTCGCCTCTAAGTACTAATGGAATGTTTTGTAGAAAGTGACGATTCATTCAAATAATTTATCATTTATTCATTTTCAACCTCTTTAATGAATTTTATTGAAATATTTCCAGGTTTTAATTTTTTAATAGTAGTAAATTAAACGGTTACAAAAATTATGAATTTATTGACGTTTTGATAGTTATCATTAGCCTTTTATTTGACTTAGAGCCTCACAGAAGGGTGGAACGTTAAAGTGAGAAAAATTCGATAGTGGAAAAGAAGAGCAATTCACAGAAGTAAAAGATACAGACAGACACAAAGGCAGAGAAAAGGCTAGATGAGTACTGGGGTAAAGAATTCTTTTACAATAGGTAACTGAGCTTGATTCTGAAATTGATGAATGAACGTCAAGTTTAATAGCAATATATGGACTGTAGAATGTAGTCTTAACTGATAATCAGATAGGTCACGTAAATAGAACTTTTCACAGTGGTGTTAGCTGTGTTAAACCAACAAACGAACATCGTTATTGAAATGTCAGTTCGTTTCAAAGGAAATGCAATAATTTAATAAGCTAGGTGTACTAAACACGGAAAGAGGCGAATATGTGAATTTCCAATATTGTGCTGTCCAATCAAAACTGTTGACAAATGTAAAATTACTGAAATAAAATTGAAAGGATAACAGTATAGTGCGATTGATTATAACGATTGCCAAATAAACCTCACAAATACATTCAGTATTGATATTGATTAAAAAACAAATACCATCTAATTTTATGGAATGAATAATTATAATTACTTTGTGGTTTGTATTAAGTGTTTCAAATATAAGCATAAACTTCAAAAACATCGGAAAATAATGGAGGAAAATTATAGTTATGACGATTATATTAAATTACTGAAGTTAAGATGCGTAACTACCAGAGCTGCTTAGACAAACGGAAATATTCGACATTATTTCACAAGCTTCATTTTCGTAGCAATTAATAAAGCCTTGTATCCCATAAAATATTTGCAAAAATATTTGATATAGAAATTTTCAGGAAAAATATCTCCTTTTTCCGATAAAACAAAAAGGAAATTTTATTGCTCTGTTGGGCATAAGTGGCCTGAATTTATTATTTATCAAACTGATCGCAATTTTGTTTGAAACACGAAAACATCGAGAAGCTTTGCAGTCACTTATTTCAACGGCTTTTGGTTGTTAGATAGTCGTCCTAATGGTGAAGGAAACCAAATTCTACGATATTCTTGAGGTTAAACCAGATGCAACTACAGCTGAAATTAAGAAAAGCTATAAGAAATTGGCTTTAAGGTACCATCCGGATAAAAATAATAATGATGACGGCGAGAAGGTAATTATTTTCATGCTTTCTTACGCATTCTAGTTTAAAGAAATCTCTCAGGCCTTCGAAGTACTCTCTGACCCTAAAAAACGGGATATATATGACCAAGGTGGTGAACAGGCTTTAAAGGAAGGCGGAGGTGGAGATTTCAATTTCCACAATCCGTTCGACATTTTCGATATGTTCTTTGGTGGCGGTGGTGGTGGTATGCATCGTAACCGGGGACCACCTCGCGGACGCGATACTGTGCATCCACTGACAGTCACTTTGGAAGAGCTCTACAAGGGCTCAACTAGGAAAATAAATGTTACCAGAAATGTTATCTGTCCCAAATGCGATGGTAAACTCAATTTCGAATGTAATATTCCTAGGTCTTGGTGGAAAGCCTGGTAGTGCTAAAACTTGCAGCGTTTGTAACGGTGCGGGCTATAAAATGAAACTGCGTCAAATCGCTCCGGGCGTTGTTCAACAGTCTCACTCTGTTTGTCCTGAGTGTCATGGCTCAAAAGAAGTTATCCCCGCTAAGGATCGCTGTCCGACTTGTTCTGGAAATAAGGTCATCAGAAAAAAGAAGACGCTCGATGTTGAAATAGATAAGGGCATGATGGATAATCAAAATATACGTTTTGCTGGTGAAGGTGACGTTGAACCAGGAATTGAACCTGGCGATATCATTTTCAGTCTCGATGAACAGCCCCATGAGCATTTTCAACGGCGGAAAATGGATCTTATTTATCAAATGAGTATTACTGTTGGTGAAGCTCTTACTGGATTTCGACATGTTATCAAGACTCTTGACGACAGACAATTGATTGTAGAATCTAAACCAGGAGAAGTCATTAAGCCCGATGATCTTCGAGTCATTTCCAACGAGGGAATGCCAAGGTATAGGAACCCATTCGAGAAAGGTCGTCTGATTATCAAATTCAATGTCGTATTTCCTCCTTCTCTTGATTCTGTCACTGTTGAAAAGTTGCGAGGCGTGCTCCCGCTATCTAACACTGAACCTATTGGACCTGAAGCCTGTGAAGTTGAACTCCTACCATATGAGGAGTCAAACGCATACCACAATGAACACCATGAGGCTTACATGGAAGAGGATGCCGATGGACCCCAACGAGTGCATTGTGGAGCTGCGTAAGGGGCTTTGTCTTTATGCGCAACCTCATGTTAACACTATCATGTTTTAACTTTGTTGCTGCTGACATATTGTCATTGTCCCCCTACAATATTAATAAATCTTCCTACGTATTCTTCTAGTTGCATTTTAAGCGATTTTTTAGCTTATATCTGCTTGACATATGTTCAGCGATTGAGTCATTAACAAAACTCATTGAATTTTTTTATGAAGTCATTCATTTTATTGGTAAAAGGACACAGTAAAGAGCTTTGGAATGAATAATTTTGCATAGAAAATTGATGCTTAGTCTTTGATGGACTGTTAAGCACAGCCAGTCCTTTCGGGGTTTCAGCTTGTCTTGTTGCCTACGGTTTCGTCTGCAATGAATAAAAAGCTTTTTTAACAGTTTGTATAAATTCGTTTCTTCACAATCCACTTCCAAAGCGGAACTTTAATCTTATAGAAATTCGGCTACCCGAGCCACGCGTTGATCATATGCCAAGAGGCAGAGCATGCGTAAGACGCACACTATACATTTGCGTGTTAAATATTTCTGGATGTGATTTGTCTTATCTAGACATATGATAAGGTGAAGCGCCCTATTTAAGTTTTTAAAGATTTCGCGTTTTTTTTTCAATGCGCATTTTGCCAAACATTATCTTGACATTCTGGTGAGACTAGCTTTCTACCACTTGATCAGTAATAAACATCTTGGCCCCAATATCTGAACAGAATTTTTTGTGGTGAATGAAGGTTTAACAATTATTGGGAATGAATGGCCAAATAATTCCCTCATCTGAAGAATCAATGTGTAAAGCTAGGAATGGTAGTTTTCATGCAAATTGCCAAAAAATAAATGGGGTGCAAAATCTGTTTACCACGAGGATGTCTAAAGGGAGTGGTTCAAAGCTGACGAAAGAGGCTGTTTGTAAACTCTTGAGCACTTCGAAAATCCATACTAAAACAAAGTATTTTAATATCAGGCATTTGTAATGATTAATTTACAGGAGACTCACAACGAGCCTAAAATTTGTTAAGTTTATTTGTAAAGAAACTATAAAGTGCAGTAGCAAGAGCTAATCGAATAGTGAACTGGTGCTTAATCTACCTTCATTCAATTTGCCAAGACGTAGTGCATTGCCAACTAACTTCCTCGTATTTAAATAACTCCATTCAAATCTATCAAGTGGATTTCTCAATTTTACTTCAATAATTAAAGTTGACATCCAGAGGTTAATCTCTCATAATCGGTGTTTAATGAATGTAAAACCGTTCATCGGATAAAAGGTTCACGTGTTAACATTTAGATTAGTACAGATGGTATTGTACTTAGTAACATCATAGAAACGGAATAAAAGTATAACATCTTGGCCATGTAAACGATATATCCCATCAGGCAGCTGAAAGCAAGTTCCCTCGTAATCTAACAGGACTCAAAGATGTTCCTGAACATATAATTGGATAGGAAGGCAAAGAAATGGTTTTGAGACTGACGTTTAACGTCAGGCATTAAAGTTGGCGTTGCAAACAGAAGTCAAATTAAGGAAAGGAGAAGAACAAGGTTTTTTAAGGACGCTCACAATTTATTTGTATCAAAAGGAAAGATTTAGAGAAAATCACTAAATAAAAACACAGCAAAGTGAGTTGCTCTGGCTAATCTCAAAGACAGGTGTGTTTAAGAATAAATTTTTTACTACTATTTAAAATGGGATGCAAATGAAATAAATTAATATGCAGTAAGTAAGGATCTCTAATATAATATTTAATGATACCAGGAACCAAGCTGGTTAAATGAAAACAGAAGCATCAAAAGGCAGCCATCAAGTTTCTCAGATCTCGCCACAAACGAACCAGGAAACTTACCATTGATGTAAGGTAAACAAAGGCATAATTGCAGCTTATCACAACAAAAGAATTCTAATCTATTAAGAGACAAGCGTGATAATCTGCAATCTCAAAGATTAAGTACCTTCATACAGGCATGTGGAGACAATTAATTCTATCCCCCCCCCCCCCTCCAAAATTACATAAAATTCCCGAAAGTAATCACTGTAACCAGGACTTAGTATGAGAAAACAGAAAATCGAAGCATCATTGAAAATATCCGTAAAATAATCAGCTCGAATACTTTTTACGTTATACACATAACGCTGACTAAGTAAATATGTCGTCTTGAGGTACGAAAATTATTGAAGTGATTATTTAAAAAAATAGACAGATTGAGTTTTAATACTGGTCTTTTCATCAAAAGAGCCAAATAAGATCAATATATTTAAAATTGCAAATTACAGGAATTTAGAGAAAATAATAGAAAACAAATGAAGAAAAAAATTAAAGGTAAAAACTAACTAGGCATGCTAATCTGAGAATCACGTGGTTCACTTTCGAAAGGCCCATCATTTATCACATTAGGGGAAGAAATGAGAGAAGAATACTGGTATTTAGCTAGACTCTGAGTCAGTAGTTTTCTGTCCGCCTCTAGTCTATTTATTTGACGAGTCAGCATTTGATTTTCTTGATAAAGCGCCCTGCATTTTTCTGAACCGCATTCTCCATCAGAATTATTCACTATTCCAAGAAGTAATTCTTGCTTCTCGTCAATGCACAGTTCAAGTTCCCTTTTCAAACGCTTGCACTGAGAGAAAAACAAATGAGAGAAAATAAAAAAAACCTCGATATTCTTCTGCTCCAGTTGAGATATAAGAGACTCACGACCTTCTGTGTCAGAATGCTTGCTTTCAGTACCGAAACAAAGTCTTAAAGGAGATTGTTCAGAAAGTTTCAACAATCTATCCTCGACCAATTCAGAATTTCTTTTGCGAAGGTGATCAAGTTCCGCCTCCAAAATACGATTTTGCATCTCGCTTTCATTCAATTTAACTTTAAGCTATATTAATAAGCACAAATCAAGAGTTACATTGACTATAAGCTTTCGTTGGGAACCCTCCGTGGATGGACAATTAATCTCTGTATCTAGGGCCTTCCTGAGATTTTTGTAGCGCTCATGAAGCTTATGATTCAATCAAAGTATTAAATTTGTAATTACCTGTTCCGAAACAACTCTAAATTGATCAGCTTCTTTCCTGGTATCTTCAAGTTGCTGTTTAAGAATTGAAATCGCTTGGCATTTACTTTGAAGTTGTGATTTAGTTATACTTAGCTACAAATACTAATTATCATGTAAAAATTCGAAAACCTCATTCGCAAGGTCAGTCTAAAAGTAACATAATGAGAAATCAGACGCACCATTTTTTATATGAAAGCGAAATTTATGAGGCCAAACTTCGCCAGAATTGTTAAACAATATTAGGTCAAAATAAGACCTATATACGTATAAGAATGCTTAAGTACATTCTTGTTTTTCAAGAATATTATTTATAAATTACTATAATATTGATATAGTTATAAATTTTGTGACTTATAGTGGAACATTATGATTTCAAATGGATAATATATTCTTATTCATTATATCTATTAGCAGGCCAAATATTAAACAAACGTAACTCCCCAGAAAATTGGACGAAAGGGCTGTCATATGTAGTGCAATTTTGGATGAAAATTCCAAATGGGAATCCTTTGCCAATGTCCGTGATATGTCGTTATCTGGGGAATTGCCCTAAATAAATGACATTTAAACATATCGTTCGGTTTTGTTAAGAAATCCATTTTAAATCTTTTCATCATACTTAAAACCTTCAGAATCTGCCTCTTTCAATATATTCAGTAATAAAATGATTGTTGTTCTTCTACTCATAAAGACATGCACTTGTTCTTTATCATCAAAATATAAAAATATATTCCACCTACAAAGTTTTTCTAACTTGTGAGCAGAATTTAAACTTCCGTAAATTCGTGAGGACTTTCATGGATTTTGTTGGGTTCGATTATTATGGAGATGGTGGGTTTGCGATTGACTAACCTCCCCGTGTTGCACCCTGGGCAACGTAAACTCATACGGCGAAAATGTCTATTAACCGGCAGTTTACTTCTCACTACAAACTACCATCAACCTACTGTATGTCATATTGGACTACTTTCATAGTACGCATCTCACTTTCTATCTACCTTTTCTACCTTCGTCTTTGAAACCATATTTGTTTCCCCCCACATCTCGACAATATTCACTTTGATGTTCCTTCCCCTCAGTGAAGCCTGAAATCAACTAAATGGCTAATGATAACCATCAAAACGCCTGCCATTTGATATAAATATTATTATGTAGATGGTCAAATTCGATATTTTGGGCTTACACTTAGTTAAGATACGAGTCATCTGTATCAATTAAATCAAACGTTGACATAATGAGTGGAACACAAATTGTTGGTTTTTTTCATAATAACAGACTCACTAGATAATAATTTTTTTAAATGGCTTGATCTCATATCTCTCGCTTTCTCAATTATTTTTTTTCACAACTTCCTGTACCACATCTCCATTAACTATATTAATATATGACATGATTTATTTGATTTATAAGACTAATATAAATAAAATATTCGAATGTAACTTTAATTAGGAAGGATTGCTAGCTTAATATCTCGATTCAGAATTAACATAACTTTAAATTCTGATGTCGACTGCTCAAAACATTGTCCTTGAGATTTTCCAACCTATTTTCATTGCTATTATTAGGGATGACAATTTGATGCTCACTATTCTGAGCTTATTTAACAAAACCTAAGACTCCTGACGATGCTGTATTAGTTATCATTGTTATTTGTGATGCTAGAACAATGTTTATACAGTCAATGAAAAAAATTAGTTTTAATTTTAATAATTCTTCATCGTTATTATCTTGAATTCTATGGTGGTAGGTTTAGCTTTTTTAAGGGACAGGAACTGATATTATTGGGTGTTTTGAGATATGAACTGGTGATACTACGTGGTTATTGGTTTTTGGTATTTTTCTTCGTTCATCACAGGGCAGAAATAGGAGTAAACCTAAGAGAAACAGGAAGATTTGTTGCGATTGCAAAATGCGATGTCGTTTTTATAAACGAAAAAATATGGTTTATGTGCATATATGTACAGACATAGAGCAAATTACGCAACAGCATAATAGCAACATCACAGTGAATTTGTCGTGTAAATTGAGCTTGACCGAATAGTGCAAAAAATACATGACAAAAAATATTAGGCTGGTGTACTAATAACTGTAAAAAGCCGATTAAATGCACCAACAATGAAAAATTTGTTAGTCGGGAAGTTAGTTCAACAAGAGTAATAAAAATCTGTTTTGATAATGAATACAAATTTGCCTACTGAATCAGGGCGATAAGCCAGCAAAATAGTCGATTTATAAAAATATATGCAATAGAGGTTAGTCATTTCATAATTAATATATATTTATCAAGATAAAGAGAAGGGTTTCTGAACAAAAGGAAAAAAATGTATTTTGCCTTGTTAAATTATATTTGATCGAAAGTAAATATTTTTACAGTACAAACAACTCTAGCATTGAATATTTTGAAATTTCAAAATCATGATCACTATATAAAAACTATAGCCTCCTCAATATTATTTCACACGAAGATTTTTAGTTAAAGGCGAGTTCGCTACAGCAAAATTCACAAAAATGTCAAACTATCAACATGATGAATGAATAATAATTACTTTGAAAATATATAGGACTCAAATAGCTCTAAAAACTATGGTTTCGATGGCATATGGTTCTTCAGTTCCAACTCTTATCCACATTATTCCATTGTTTGCCTAAGTAAGTATCATTTTATGGCTTCTTATATCCATCTGCAAAATAAACGTGATTTTTAAAACGTTGATATTTCATTGGGATTGGACATTAAATTTCAAATATATTAATGATGATTGCAGTGTAGAGATACATGATAATGACATAAAAAAGGAAAAAAGCAATCCGAAATTTAAATGAAATTGGTGATTCCATACATTCAGAAAATTTTTGTGCCGATATTGTACTAAATTGATCATACTTAAAATCATAAAATTACAAATGGGTAAACATCACAAAACTACAAATCATGCGTAGCGGGAAAAATATTAGATAACTTAAATTCGAATCATGTTAATATTGAAAGTTTAAGCTTGAACATGTTAAGTTTATCTTTCAACTATATCCTAAGCTAAAATGATGAAATAATATAATTTAGAGTAAAATGACAGAAAGAAAGAGATTGTGTTTAATTTTCTATTATTATTCTTATTAGAGAGAAGTTGGCAAGAAATTAACCTTGAGTTAAATTTGGCGCAGTTTTAGTATTTAAGCCGTGGAATTTGTGCGTTTTGATAGGTGAGTTAGGATGTCTTAGTCCTTGCCTTGCGGCCTTTTTTTTGGAAATTCCAGGGTCTATTACAATCACTGTTTTAAGATGGAAAATCTTGTTCGACTGGCACATTTGTCCGAAGATGATCTTCTTAGTCTTCCTGAAAGAGTTGTCGAAAACCTTGCTATCGCTTTTGATAGTGTAGTCCATGAAGCTAATGAGGCGAAAAAACAAATGGAGCAAACGACGATAGAGCAGGGTAAGTTGCATTTCGTCATCGCGATTCAGTTTTAAGAAACAAAACTGAAAACTGCCTCCGAAAAATACTCTCGTTTGCAGTCCGAATTTGAATTGGCTGACACCAAGTTAAAAAACCTCCGTGAGGCTCTTATAAAGGAAGAAAATAAATCCCATGAGTTATCAGTTGATCGGGATAAACTAGCTCAAAAATTAAATGATAGCCAATCTGTAACCAACGAACTTGAATTGGTTATTCATAGGCTTGAAAATGACAAAGAAAGCCTCAACGAACTTCTCAGTAAGAAAAATGAGGAGTATATGCGGATTTCAAAAGAAATGAATGAGATGCAGGCAGAAATCGGGTCAATACGTACAATGAAGTCTGACATCATCACTCAAATGGAAGAAATAAAAACTGAAAAGAATATTCTTGCTGTAATGCCAGTTTTATCTAATTAATTCCATTTATTTAGCTTCGCGAAAAGAGATTAGAGGAAACAAGCGCCTCTATTAAGCAGCAAAATGTTTGGTATGAGGAAGAACTACACAAAGCAAATGACAAACTACTTACAATTCGAAGCGAATATGTAGGTTTTCGATCTGATAAATTTTATCAAAGATTTAGACTGAAAATTTTCTCAACTTGGAGTCTGAACTAGCGTCAAAGAGAAAAGAGCTAGAGTATTCTAAAGACGCCGTGTCGAAATTGGAAAATGTGGTTAAAAAATTGTCAGAATCTAACGAAGATCACATTGATAAATTGAAGTTGGTAGGTGATCAAATATGTCGCAGCAAACTTTGAATTGACCTCTTTAGCGCACTGAAGAATTGACAGCGTTAGAGCAAATGCACGCTGGTGAACTGGATGCTCAACGTCGTCTCACAGAGTTGTATAAAGAAAAGTCTTCCGATTTTGAGACGAAATGCGATGAATTGCAAAAAGCCGTTTCAGAGTTGCAGTTATTGCTTCAACAGGGGCATGATCGTATGTCTGTTTTTTTACCAATAATCTGTGATTATTCTTCATCTTTGTTTTAGATGTTGTTGTCTTGCAGTCAGAGAAGAAGAGCATAATTGAAGCTTTCAATGAGGAGAAGGAGAGCCTTGTTGCAGCGAATATCAGCATGGCAAGTGAGCTAAAGTCTGCAAAGGAGATTGTCGACAAATTTCGTGTCAACGGGCTCTCTCAGGAAGAACTCCTTCAAATCAACCCCACTATTGCTAGCACTCTTGCTTCCATTAAGAGCGGCCGTTCTCTCATTGACATTTATGCTGAGTATTTGCAAGTTGTTGAAGAACGGGATAGATTAAAGGTTGATAAAAATCTTCTAGATGCCCATATTAGAGAATTGGTTGAGCAGTTGGAAGAGAAGGCGCCCATCTTACGATCACAGCAAGAAACCTTTAAAAAATCCACAGAACGTGTAGCCGAACTTGAAAGACAATTAGAGGCCCTGCAACAAGGTGCCAAGGAAAAGGAGGAGTGCCTTGATTACCAGAGTCGTCGTGCTGGTTACTTCCAGCGTCAATATCTGCGTTTGAAAGAAAATTGCAAAGATCTCTCTATCCAAGTAAAAACTCTCCTCTATGAGCTTGAAACTGCTCGTGGTACTGTCATTTCCTCTATGCCAATGGACGAGGGAAATGTATCAATACTTCCAGATAGCAGTACAGATGATATCGATAGTAGAGACCTACTAAAAATTTGTTCAGCAGCTGCTTCTGTGATTGACAAGAATCTAGTGACTTTTAAGAGTATCTCTGATCTTCAGACACAAAATGCCCGCTTGTTACTTGTAGCAAGAGATTTGGCTTCCCAATTAGAGGCACATGAGTCGAGTAAAGAGTCATTGGATAACCACGTCTCAGAGATAACGGCCAAAGTTGATGTCCTCTCTGGCGAAGTGGAGGTTGCTCGCTTGTCTGCCTCTGAAGCTCGTTCTGAGACAAAGTTGGCCTGTCGTCAACGCGATTTGTACAAGAACCTCCTCCTACGCCATGCAATTCCACTTCCTGATTTATCGCATTCAGACGAAACGGTTTTGTCAGTTCAAGATTATGAGGAGGAAACCCGAGAAAAATCAATTGTATCAACTAACTATGGTAGGTCATTGTTAGTCTTTTCAATTATTATATATTCCCAGATGAAAATTTATTTATATCAAATGGCAGGCGTTTTGATAATTATCATTAATTATTTCAAATGGCAGGCGTTTTGATAGCTATCATTAGTCCTTTTATTTATATCAAATGGCAGGCGTTTTGATTTCTAAGAGTATTTATTTATATCAAATGGCAGGCGTTTTGATAATTATCATAAGCCCTTTAGTTGACTTCAGGCTTCACAGAGGGAAAGGAATATCAAAGTGAGAAAAAGTTGAGAGGGGTGGGGGGCTGGATCAGAGGAATGTTTTTAGGTTTTAAAAGAGTCAGACACAAAGGTTTGAAAGGTGAGGTGAGTACTGTGGAAGTGGTCGAATATGACATACAGAGGGGTGTTGGTAGTTTGAACTCAGAAGTCAACTGCCGGTTTTTAGACTCTTGCCGCATGAGCATACGTTGCCCAGGGTGTACCACGTGGAGGTA